GGGGGGGGGGGAAGATGGCCTGAAGAATCCCTCAGAAGAACTCAGAGACAAACACCTGGTGTAGTTTAGCAAAACTGCCATATGTTCGTGGCTGTACTGTACACTCGGCAGTTGTCTAATCATACCGGCACATTGGCTAGGATTACGATCACCGCGGCAGCAGCAGCGTATCATTTCCAGTAGACAGTCGCTGCATGATTTCCATCAGAGAGAACTGCGCAAACCTGAAACGTTCGCCTTTCAGTGATAAGATTGATGATTTTCATATCCATAAATTAATCTTTCGAGACATTACTGCATGATTCGAAATTTGGTAATCAGTGGCTTTGAGCATTGGGTTAATTCTTAAGGTAAAACGGTTTTGCGCGGGTTAATTTAATCAGGAATTTAGGGAATCGGCAATTTTCCGTTAAGACTGCTAATCTTTTAATCGATGTATTTTTTGAGTTACATTAGACAGTGTAAAGAGTGAATGACTACTGACGAGGAAAAGAAAACTTTTCAAAAACTCGGTTTGCACCACTGGGTCCTTTAGCACTGCATAGGGGAAGAATGGGGCACATTTCCATATGAAACTTCCATGTTGGCATTATGGTCCGTTGAAATTTCTGTAGACACGAAACGGCAAGTCAGAGTCTGAAGAAACTTTCGTCATGAAGTCAAGGTATTGTAGAGACCTTAAAAAATGTTTCACTGGCACTTGGAAGGATTCTCAGGATGTTGAAGGAAGGCTTCAGATCCAACCTTCCAACTGCGTTAGCTAATATTAAAATTCAGCAATTGACATAGAAATAATCAAATAAGCAACTTGTCTATACAGGACATCAGATTTAAATACAAAAAAAGAGTAACATAAACTAATTAGAACAATTATTGTTTCCTCCGTCAGTGCTTCTCAATAGGCCTCGCACATTAGACGCGATTTCCAATTATTGCGCAAAAGAACAAGAGGTCGAAAGGAGGCATAATTCGGTTCTGACTGCAATGACATTCAAACTATCCATAATATGAACAAGATTTAAAAAATTTTCTTTTGGTCTTTGTCTGAAAAAAAAGATGACAAAAGAAAAGGCATAGTTTGTCACCGTTAGAAAGTCGATCCTCTTTCTCTTTCACGACTGGGTCATGTTCGTGTGCCTTTCATTGCATGAGATTGATGGTGCAATGCCGATCACCGGTCTCTGTGCAATCAGCCAGTAGTGCCTTATTTTAAGGACACAGTCTTCAATCATTTGATGAACGCTGACCGTAGTCTCTCTGTTTCCACAGAGTGGTACTCATTTATCAACTTTGGGAAGAGGAAACACGAGTGACGGTTATAGCCTCAGTTTTAAGATTGCCTTCTTAAGTTGACACCTTCCATTCAGTCATTCACTCAGGCTTGTTGGGTTCTACCAGAATACTAACACTAGCTTGATAACCGACCGTACAGTCAACACCTGAGTAGAATAGCTTTCACCCTCACAGATTCTCTCTGGTTCCAACTCCAGATCCGTGGCGCTTTGTTGACGAGACTCCAATTGTGTCGATTTGATACCTCGCGGCCTCGTTAGACAGCCTCTGTTCATTTTCTCTAAGTGAGGAGTTGTTCCAATTTCCGACTGTAACCTCCCTCTCTCGGTATGGCTTTCGTGGAATCTGAGATGATATGCCACAGTGGTTCCGTGTTGTCTTCCTCATCTGCTTTGAACGACAGCGACTTCATTCCTGATTGGCATCTACGTCGTTCTTCATATTGCTCATCTACAGCCGTCGCCGTGCTGCTACCCCCAAAGCTGCTAGAAGACGTGAAACCGAGTTGTCGCAGCCTGTACTTTCGTTCTCCAATAGCCTCGGTTACCGTTGATATCTGTGGCAACGACCGAGGCGGTATATCGTTTAATAATTTCACTACCATGATGGGCAGGTGGCTGAGTTCTGCAGGAGATCTCGTCGCTCAGTCTCTATTGATTG